ATACAAAAATTAGCTGGGTGTGGTGGCACATGCTTGTAATCCCAGCTACTTAGAAGGCTGAGGCAGGAGAATTGCTTGAACCTGGGAGGTGGAGGTTGTAGTGAGCCAAGATTGCGCCACTAAACTCTAGCCTGGATGACAAAGCTAGACTCCTTCTTGAAAAAGAAAAGAAAAAAAAAAAGGCCGGGCGTGGCGGCTCAAGCCTGTAATCCCAGCACTTTGGGAGGCCGAGGTGGGTGGATCACGAGGTCAAGAGATCGAGACCATCCTGGTCAACATGGTGAAACCCCGTCTCTACTAAAAATACAAAAAAATTAGCCGGGCATGGTGGCACATGCCTGTAATCCCAGCTACTCAGGAGGCTGAGGCAGGAGAATTGCCTGAACCCAGGAGGCGGAGGTTGCCGTGAGCTGAGATTGCGCCATTGCACTCCAGCCTGGGTAACGAGAGCGAAACTCCGTCTCAAAAAAAAAAAAAAAAAAAAAAAAAAAAAAAAGATTATGTCACTTTTTCTTCCATGATGAAATGGAATTTATTTCTGGATGTGTAATTTTCTAAAGACGCAATGTTGGGGATGAAGAAAAAAATTCAGAAGTAGAAAATGAAAGTTTTCCTTTTCCTGACATGTGGGTAACCTCCCATATAGGCACCGAGGAATGAGAGCTAATCAGAACCCTGTCATAGTTAGGGCTTGAGGAATATCTCACTTTATAGTGTTACTACTCAGCTATTTCCTTTTCTATAATCCTTTACATAATCATATATTAGTTTATAGAAACAGGACTTGAAGACTCCCTTTATATAATCCTCTCTATGTAATCATATAATAGTTGATAGTATGAGTGCCTAAAGAATATTTCCCTACATATATACCTATAATTATATCTTAGTTCACAATCGGAGGAATGCCTACAGCAGACACAGTGCAGAGCATGATTAAGGGAAAAACGGTTATACCAGGACAAGAATCCATGGCCCAGCGTCCACCTGCTGGCCTAGGTGACCTAATGGGGGTGCACCCTATGTTTTATTGCTCACGACCCTATCACTATCCTTAAAGATGATTTCACTCACTGCCCTGCCCCCTAACCTATACACAATAAATACTCACGCTTCTGGACATTCGGGGCCTTGCCAGCCTCGCCTGACTCCGCTCACAGGTGGCATGGGCCCCCGAGCCCAGCTGCATTTTTCTTGTACTTCTGTGTCTTGTCTCTTTATTTCTCAGATCCTGCACCTCACCACAGCATAAGGCTCACCCCACGACCCTGTGGGGCACTCAGCCTTACATCTGGCTCCCAACATGCCCTACACTGACACACCCATTCTAGTAAATAATTGAGATGGCCACGGTTAAAAGTGTAAAGAAATGTGTTCCTAAACTTGAAAACTTTTAAATTTTAACTCTGCTTAATAACTCATATTGGGAAGAATTTTGTAAAATAAGGAATGTCGATGGTAATACGTTCCCATTGATTATTCCTTGTTTCATGCTGGTTTTTAATCAACATATCCCTTCATTAATTTGAGCTGTATCTTTCCAGACCATTTAATACATATTTAAGGTGGAGGACAGTATGTATAGTAACAGACAGTACAGAATTAACCCTCCCCAGATCTTGCCATTGCACTCACCATTAACAGACAGTGTTAATTCTGTACTAATATTTTACATAAATACCACCAATTGATTTTCTTAATCACAAGTACTTTCTGGGGATATTTTCTAATATTAAAGAATGTGAATGTACTAGAGTTTATTTAATAGCTTCCTCATTTTAGACTTTCAATGTTTTATTTACTTATTTACTTATTTATTTTTTGAGATGGAGTCTTGCTCTGTCATCCAGGCTGGAGTGTAGTGGCACGAGCTCGGTTCACTGCAACCTCTGCCTCCTGGATTCAAGCGATTCTCCTGCCTCAGCCTCTCAAGTAGCTGGGATTACAGGCATGTGCCACAATGCCCGGCTATTTTTTGTATTTTTAGTAGCGGTGTGGTTTCCTCATATTGACCTGGCTGGTCATGAACTCCTGATCTCAAGCAATCTGCCCACCTTGGTCTCCCAAAGTGCTGGGATTATAGACGTGAGCCACTGCGCCCAGCCCCTGTTTTATTTTTATATGTTAGCTAGAAGGTACAAATCTATCAGAGTACTTCTTGAATTTTGAACAGGTGTTTGTCCTCTGGATGTCTCGAAAAGTGACATTGATGGCTCATAGGCTGTAGTACTTATATCTTTCTACGTAAAAAAAGGACCCCAAAACTGAGTGGCTTATAACTACAATCTTCTTGAAACAACACGTGCTGGTGAGGATATGGAGACATAAGAATGCTTTTACACTATTGGCAGGCATGTAAATTAGTTCAACCATTGTGGAAAACAGTGTGGTGATTCCTCAAGGATTTAGAACCAGAAATACCATTTGACCCAGCAATTCCATTACTGGGTATGTACCCAGTGGATTATAAATCACTCTACTGTAAAGATGCATGTACATGTATGTTTATTACAGCACTGTTGACAATAGCAAAGACTTGGAACCAACCCAAATGTCCATCAACGATAGACTGGATAAAGAAAATGTTGCACATATACACCATGGAATACTATGCAGCCATAAAAAGAATGAGTTCATGTCTTTTGCAGGAAAATGAAGGTGGAAGCCATCATTCTCAGCAAAGCAACACAGGAACAGCAACAACAAAAAAACAAACACTGCATGCTCTCACTCGTAAGTGGGAGTTGAACAGTGAGAACACATGGACACAGGGAGAGGAGCATCACACGCTGAGGCCTGTCGGGGCAGGGGGCAAGGGAAGGAAGAGCATTAGGACAAACACCTAATGCATGTGGGCTTTAAAACCCGTGTGACAGGTTGATAGTTGCAGCAAACTACCATAGCACAGGTATAACTATGTAACAAACTTGCGTGTACTGCACATGTATCCCAGAACTTAAAGTAAAATTAAAAAAAAAAAAAAAATCTTGTCTTATACTACAGTTTCTGATGGTCAACTCACTAAGCCAAAGGGAAAAGTCGAGCTGGGAACTGCATCATGTAAATCTGCCTCCCAATTTTCCCTAAATAAGACAGCTACCAAGATTTTTTTTAAAGCGCTACATAGGCTGGGTGCGCTGGCTCACACCTGTAATCCTAGCACTTTGGGAGGCCAAGGTGGGCAGATCACAAGGTCGGGAGACTGAGATCATCCTGGTCAACATGATAAAACTCCATCTCTACTAAAAATACAAAAAAAATTTAGCTGGGCGTGATGGCACGTGCCTGCAGTCCCAGCTACTTGGGATGCTGTGGCAGAACTGTTTGAACTTGGGAGGTGGAGGTTGCAGTGAGCCAAGATCGTGCCACGGCACTCCAGCCTGGTGACAGAGTGAGAATCCATTCCAAAAAAAAAAAAAAAAAAAAACAGTGCAACATAGCACCCCCCTCACAATTTGCCCACGAGGTAATTCCTTCTGGGCCCGAAAATCTGTACCCTAAAATAGTTCTGTTGAATTTCACCTAGGCAATGTAAATTGATAGCTTATCTTCACAGGTATGGGACAAAGGACAGAACTTGAAGCCATTTCTCTATCCGTCTTTGTAACTCACATTGGACAAGGAGAATTTAGAGGTGCCTTGAGAAAACACATTTTTATTTTTTGAGCCAAGATCGTGCCACGGCACTCCAGCCTGGTGACAGAGTGAGAATCCATTCCAAAAAAAAAAAAAAAAAAAAAAACAGTGCAACATAGCACCCCCCTCACAATTTGCCCACGAGGTAATTCCTTCTGGGCCTGAAAATCTGTACCCTAAAACAGTTCTGTTGAATTTCACCTAGGCAATGTAAATTGATAGCTTATCTTCACAGGTATGGGACAAAGGACAGAACTTGAAGCCATTTCTCTATCCGTCTTTGTAACTCACATTGGACAAGGAGAATTTAGAGGTGCCTTGAGAAAACACATTTTTATTTTTTGCCTTTGAAAATTCACTTTGTGGGATAAAAATCGACACAGGGGATCATACATTTCCTGGTTACTAGGCAACACCTGCAGTAACTAATATTTATCTGCCATATATTTGCGTTACCCCATCCCCAAGCTGAGATCTTTTGTTGGGCAAAAACCCAAAGCCACTCCCTCTTTATTCTCCTCATTCATCCATGGTTTCTTTTTTTTTTTTTTTTCTGAGACGGAGTTTCGCTCTTGTTACCCAGGCTGGAGTGCAATGGCGCGATCTCGGCTCACTGCAACCTCCGCCTCCTGGGTTCAGGCAATTCTCCTGCCTCAGCCTCCTGAGTAGCTGGGATTACAGGCATGCGCCACCACACCCAGCTAATTTTTTGTATTTTTAGTAGAGACGGGGTTTCACCATGTTGACCAGGATGGTCTCGATCTCTCGACCTCGTGATCCACCCGCCTCGGCCTCCCAAAGTGCTGGGATTGCAGGCATGAGCCACCGCGCCCAGCATAACGTACAGATTTTATAACTCGGCCCCAAATTCTGGAATTAACCGAAACCTTATCTCCACATTACATCATCACTACAGGAGAACACTTTTTTCTTCACTGTCTTGAATGGTCATATCACACGTTGCCACTTGCCCACGTAACTTTTTCAACAATCCCACAGTTATTTAATTTCTGCATAGAATTATGATATCATATTGAAGGTTGCATACTCAAAGTGATCCCCATAATTTTCAGATTGATTCAAGACCTAATTTTAATTGCATAGACCTCTAATGACTGTACTGCAGGCCTTAATAAAAATTTGATAGTATGAATATTGACATATTAATTTCATCATATTTCATTGACCATTGTTCTTATTAGCTATTATTCATCACTGGGATGGAAGTTCACCCTGTGTCATTCACCACCTTCTTATCATTGTGACAGTTTCATCACGATGTGTACATTACTATAGGGAAGAGTAAATCATCAGTTGAACCGTATGCACAAGGTACATGTTTATAATGAGTTCAGGGAATCCTGTCATCTTTTCCAGGCAAAGCAAAGCCTGTATACATTGGGGTCACAGCTCATGATAACAAAGGGACTGAGAGTTGGGAAACAGAGATTCAGGAAGCCTGCAGTGTCCACCAGTAAACGGCCGGGGTTTTCAGAAAGAGTGATACAAATTTGGACAAGGCAGGAGAGAGTGTAAGAAGACACAAAGTTGCTCATGAGGAAGAGGATGCTCTGTGTGGCTCTAGTCTCAGGGGAGGCTCTGGGGGAGAGATCGGTCCTGCGAATGTGCTGGACCCGCTGCTTGTGTCTGCGCAGGATGCAAACCACAGAGCTGCTGGCCCAGAGCATGAGCCCCAGACACAACACATCAGGGAATAACAACATCACATGCAGTGTGTCTGTGCTTTTGTCGTGACCTCTCCCAGAACAGTATCCCAAATCCTTGCTCCCTCTGATGTTCGTGTAGTTCCATTTGGCAGTCACGTAAATGGGAAAGATGACGTTTACCAACACGTACAGGAGCCAGCACAGGAGAACAGAAAAGCCAACATGCCTGGGGGCTTTCTCTTTAAGTTTTGCCCACCTGGGTTTCCTGGGGCTGATCGTGATCACCTGGAAGACACTCAAGAGGCAGGTGGGGCCAATGGACACGCCCCTGTCCACTCCATAGAGATAGAAAACAAGTTTGCACCCAACAGCATTGAGAAAATATCTCAACCCAAAAGCTGCCATTGTCTGGGGGACTCCTTTACAGAGAGATAAGATGTTGGCTACAATCAGGTGCTGAACAATCACCATCTGTGGACCTTAACCTGCCCCCAGTGCAGTAAACAGAGAGAGAACGGAGGAGAGACAAGTTCCCCAGGACTCCAACCACAGTCTGTGGTAGGAAGATCATTCCCGATGCCACGTTCCCGGAGGCCATTCTGCCCATCCCTAGTCACTGATGCATGTCTTCAGAGCCGGAAGGTCCTGCATGGAGAAAGAGACATGAGCTGCATTTATCATGTCACCTGGAACCCGGCGTTCTCCACCACCCATTGCTCTGCCCTTAGCAATATTTATTTATTTATTTATTTATATATATATATTTTTTTGAGACGGAGTTTCGCTCTCGTTACCCAGGCTGGAGTGCAATGGCGCGATCTCGGCTCACCGCAACCTCCGCCTCCCGGGTTCAGACAATTCTCCTGCCTCAGCCTCCTGAGTAGCTGGGATTACAGGCACGAGCCACCATGCCCAGCTAATTTTTTTGTATTTTTAGTAGAGACGGGGTTTCACCATGTTGACCAGGATGGTCTCGATCTCTCGACCTCATGATCCACCCGCCTCGGCCTCCCAAAGTGCTGGGATTACAGGCTTGAGCCACCGCGCCCGGCCCCTTAGCAATATTTAAAGTTGCCCTTGTATTAAGAGGCTTTTGAGAATTGAATGCGTAACCTTTAAGGAGCGCGTACAACGTGGGCATCAGTGCTGTGCAGATCATACATGTGGTAACTTCTTTTTCCACAAATCTATGAGGCAGGCATGACTATTACTTTCATTGTAAATAAAAGAAGTTTTTGTTTGTTTGTTTTGATTTGGGGGGGAAAGACAGTACGTTTGGCTACCATAGTTTACTAACGAAGTTAGACAGCTGTGTTCTTTGAATAACACACACACACACACACACACACACACACACACACATTTTTGTTTTTATTCCTTGTCATTTTATTTTAGTCTGGTAGTAGGTTACTGTATAATTATGTTGTTATGATTTTACACGATGTGTAAAAATGTATTCTATTTGTCACTGTCCAAATAAATAAAGGTTTAAAGATCTTAGAAAATGTAGATGCATGGATTACAGTTTAATACTATAGAAACCTGTGCCATGACAAGTTGGATTTAATGACTGCAAGAATTGATCAATATTAGAATGGAAACAGCAAAAAAAAAAAAAAAAAAAAAAAAAAAAAAAAAAAAAAAAAAAAACGTTGTCAGCATTTGCTTTTGTGCCAGGGACAAAGGCATAAAGGCACCTATCACAATCACGTCTTGTCCAAAACAATAGGACGTGAAACACCAATGTGGGATAAAATAGCGTAAGGTAATAACCAAATTCTTACAAATGTTACACGACCTATTTTGATCTATTAATAACTGAGTTAAAGGAATTATCCTTAAGACAATATTTGTGTAACTAAATTAAAATGTGACAAATACGAAAATTGGAAACTCTAATGGTTGTATATTATATACTTTATAAATGGTAATTATAGAGTTTGGGTGATTTAGAATCTATTTTTTTTAAAGATTCCTTTGGAGTTTTATTTGAATATCGTTAAGTTTGTACAGCATTGATATTTTATCAATTCTTGTCTTCCTGTTCAGGAAGATTGACTGTGTCTCCATCAAACATTATTTAATTCCCCTTTATACATCTTAAGCAGAGACCATATCAGAGGACATATTTGAGCCTGCTAGCTTCTCTCTTTAGCTTGTTATTACAAAGTTACCTTTTCCTTAAATGCTACCTGCCTAACATCAGGAGGAAAAACAGGCTCACCATCATCCACAGACTATGGTAGTCTTCAGTCGAGAAACAATTACTGCTCCCAGGAAGCTCTGCACTTTCAGAATTAGAGAAAACATTTTTGTTCTAGCGACTACCGTTTAGCTACGCTGTTTCTGTAAGGAATTACATGATTCCTGTAGAATTAGTCGATTCATTACAAGCATGGTGATATTATAGCCACATGCTTAGCAATCCTGAAATTTTACCCTGTGATTCCTGTTGGGCAGGCGGAACAGCAGATTAATTTTAGCACCACAATCCTTAAGAATGCAGCCGGGTTTCACCATCACAATCGATTGATTTCAGAACGTTAGTCCTTAAGAATGTAGTCAGGTTTCGCCGTTAATGGGTGAAACACCGACAATGCGGGTCAGTGTGGATTATGCTAAATTACATCAGGAGCCCCAGGGATTGGCGCGGGGCTGGGACCCCCATTTCTCTTTGGTAGCTCCAACTATTCCTCTTTTCTCTGTGATTTGGGAACTAGACCAGTTTTCAATCTAGAACAATTTCTTCCTTCCTTTTTTTTTTTTTTTTTTTTTTTGAGACGGAGTTTCGCTCTTGTTGCCCAGGCTGGAGTGCAATGGCGCGATCTCGGCTCACTGCAACCTCCGCCTCCTGGGTTCAGGCAATTCTCCTGCCTCAGCCTCCTGAGTAGCTGGGATTACAGGCACGCGCCACCATGCCCAGCTAATGTTTTGTATTTTTAGTAGAGACGAGGTTGCACCATGTTGACCAAGGATGGTCTCGATCTCTTGACCTCGTGATCCACCCGCCTCGGCCTCCCAAAGTGCTGGGATTACAGGCTTGAGCCACCGTGCCCGGCTATGCTGCAGGTTTTAAGGGTGCCTAGGGGAAAAGCGAGCAAGGAGCTAAGCGTGTGGGGGATACTAGATGCTGTGGGGACAAGGGGGGCCAGGCTCATAGAACAAAGGGAGATAACGGGAATATAGAGATAATGAGGGAAGTTGAGTAAACAGCAGGCGGGTTCAAGGCACAGGAGGCTTAATGTCTAAGGAAGATTGAAGAAAATGAGGGGAACGGAGGTAGCAGGTGGAGTGCACAGGTCCTGGGAGTAGTCAGTGACCCAAGGTGGGGATGGGGTGGGAATGGTGGAAGGAACCGTGTGTATGTCGTGTGCCTGGGAGGAAAATGAGCGCAGGGTATGAGAGGAGCTGGAAGGTCCCTTCTGTTGGCATTTATACTACCCCAGAGCTCCAAAGCCTCTTCCCTTGGCTAACCGAATTGTGGTGTAATCACATATAATCTAATTAGCTCTCCCTCTTTCTCGATCTGTTAGTTATTCTGTTCCTAGCGCTTTCATTTGATCACACCTGTGTGCGTCCGAAACAAATAATATAGCCAGGCACGGTGGCTCATGCCTGTAATCCTAGCAATTTGGGAGGCCGGGGTGGGTGGATCACCTGAGGTCAGGAGTTCAAGACAAGCCTGGCCATCATGGTGAAACCCGAGATCTGTGAAGCACTTGGAGATGGAGGGTGGATTGTACACTCGCCTCTCTGCAGAGACGAGATGGCATTTGATACAGTTTGGATGTGTCCCCGCCCACATCTCCTATTGAATGTCATTTTCATTCTTGTTGCCCAGGCTGGAGACCAATGGTGCGATGTCTGCTCATCGGAACCTCCCCCTCCTGAGTTCTCCGAGTAGCTGGGAATACAGGCCCACCACCAAGCCCAGCTGATTTTTTTTTTTTTTAGTGGAGACCGGGTTTTTTCATATTGGCCAGGATGGTCTCGAACTTCTGACCTCAGATGCTCCGCCCGCCTCGGCTTTCCAAAGTGCTGGGATTACAGGCGTGAGCCACTGCGCCGGGCCCCCTATCTTTGCTTTTCGAGTGAGCCCACCACCTGGAATAAAGTTTTTAAGCAGTTTTTGAAAACTCACACATCAACATCAGAGTTTGGTCTTCCAGTTCTAAAAACGTGCTGGTGTAGAGTTCGCAGCCGTGGCTGCACGGCCTCCAGCTCTGGGAGTTCCAGCCCAAGCAGAAGACAACCCACTGACTTCCTCATTGGCAAACTTCCCTTCCAGCTCCAGGTGCAAAAGATTGCTCAGGACGGCTAAGCAGACCTGCGCTTCCAGAGCAGGTGTGTCGATGCTCTGCAGAGGGTAAGTGCAGGAGGATCTGGGTGGGGCTTTTGAAGTCTCGGACCCTGTGCAGTCCACGCCCACGTGGCTCAGCCCTGCCAGGAGATGCCACCAGCTGGCCCAGGCTGGAGAGCGCGCAGTAGGAACCCACCGTGTTGTGCCCCATGACACTGCAGGATGTCTATCATTAACAATGAGGTAGGGTTTCCAGTAGCTAGAGGGAGGAGAGTGAGTGTCCCCGACACCCAGGCATGAATAATGGACATGCTAATAACCTAACCTAATCACTACCCATTAAACCTATACTTTGGTCTCCACGTGCCCCGTGAGTATGCACAAGGGCTATTTGTCAATTAAAAGGAAATTAAATAAACTTGTAAGTAATAGACACCTTAGGAACCTATTTGAATCTATTAAATATTTGCAGTAAAAAAATCCACTGTAATTGGAAACATCTTCGTGTAAAAAATGATACTCTTTCCCATAATTGATAGAGCTAAACACGACATTTTATTTTGGCATAGGGTCACACAGTAGATGGTGTAATAAAGAAATTAAAAAAAAGAAGCTGTTAAAAATAAAAAAAAAAAGAAAAAAGAGAAAAAATTTTAAAAGAAATTTAAATTTAAATTAAAAAAATTTCTTTTTAAAAAAATTTAAAAAAAGAAAAAAGAGAAAACAGCAGGTAGTGTATGATTAGGGGTGAAAGAATTCGGTGCAGAAATCAGCTATTGGTGCTTTTCCATTTTCACTTATGTGTGAATTTTAAAAAGTAAATTTAATGAATAAATAATAATTGTATATATTTATGGGGTGTATTGTGCTAATTTGATATATGTGTATGCTGTGGAAATTTAAAGCTGATCATACTAACATATCGATTACTGACCTACTTAACACTTTCTTGGTGAGGACAATTGAAATCCACCCTTTCCAGTTTTGCATGTTAATAATATTCCTTATTTTTAACCATAGCCACGCTGCTCTACCATATCTCAAAAAAATGAGTCCTCCTGCCTAACTGAATCATTGTACATGGATTTTTAATATAAATGTGGGGGAGGTAAAATATTAATGCAAATAAAAATGTTTCAGGAAACACATTCAGCAGTTCCACTTCACGACAGTGGTGACTCGACCTCCTAAAGCTTTGTGTGCAATAACAGCTTTTGGATGTTTTGAAAGGAAGCCAATTTCTTCTTGACGGCAAAACCAAACAAAAACATGGTGCTTTCAGAGAAACAGAGAACAAG